ATTTCATTCAGAACACTCCCTGTGTTGAAATGGAGCACAAGTTAGTCCAGTGTGACAGGTGAAACAGTTAAGATTTATTTTACTTTCCTAATTGTATTCTGCATGCCCTGGTTTCTTCTCTTCTGGATATAAAACGTTACGTTCAGTGAAGGGTACTAGTATGCGCCTTTCCAATTTAACCCAAACTAAAGTCTCTTACTTTAGTGCAGAGGTGGGGCAAACTACGGCCCGCGGGCCACATCTGGCCATATCTGGCCCACAGGACCCTCCTGCCCCGCCCCTGAGCTACTGGCCCGGGAGGCTAGCTCCTGGTCCTTCCCCTGCTGTTCCCCCTCCCCCACAGCCTCAGCTCACTGTGCTGCCAACGCAATGCTCTGGGCGGCGGGGCTGTGAGCTCCTGGGGCAGCACAACTGCAGAGCCTGGCCTGACCCAGTGCTCTGTGCTGCGCGGTGGTGTGGCTGGCTCCAGCTGGGTGGCGTGGCTGTAACACCGCCAGCCACTGATGCTCCAGGCAGTGCGGTAAGGGGGCAGGGAGCGTGTGTGTGTGTGTGTGTGTGTGTGTGTGTGTGTGTGTGTGTGTGTGTGTGTGTTTGGGACAGAGGGCAGGTGTGTTCGGGGGGATGGTCAGGGGGTGGGGATGTGGATGGGGCAGTCAGAGGGCGGGGAACAGGGGCAGCAGTCCTGGGGGGGCAGTCAGGAAGGAGAGGAGGGGTAGGATGGGGCGGCAGGGAGCAGTCAGGGGCAGGGGTTCCAGGGGCAGTCAAGGGACAGGGAGAAGGGGTAGTTGGATGGGGCAGGGGTCCCAGAAGGGCAGTCAGGAAGGGGGTGGGGGGGTTGGATGGGGCAGCGGGGAGGCAGTCAGGGGCAGGGGTTCCAGGGGCGGTCAGGGAGAATGGGTGGTTGGATGGGGCAGGGGTCCCGGGGGGGCAGTCAGGAATGAGAGGAGAGGTTGGATGGGGTTAGGGGGCAATCAGGGGTGGGGGTTCTGGGGACAGTCACGGGACAGGGATCGGGGGGGCTGATGGGGCAGGAGTCTGGGGGGGCATCAGGGGGTGAGAAGCAGGGTGGGATGGGGGCGGGGGCCAGGCCATGCCTGGCTGTTTGGGGAGGCACAGCCTCCCCTAACTGGCCCTCCATACTTTCCGAAACTCAATGTGGCCCTCAGTCTAAAAAATTTGCCCGCCCCTGATTTAGTGGATCAAAATCCAAGTAGATTAACAGGAAAAAAAATAGATGCTGAAAACGTTCACCACCATTCATCTTCACTACCGTAACCTCTCTCTCTCTCCCCCTCCCTCCCCAACTTCCCACTGCTTACTTGCCTCATCCCCTCTGACCTAGGCAAAAAGATGCCTCCCAGATCATCTTCCCCACATGCTGCTCTGACCATGTTTTCCCACTTCATCATTCCCTTCACTAGCCTCCACTTTCCTTCTGTATCAAGTTCAAGCTACTCACCTATACTGTCAGGGCTCTACACAGTTCTGGTCCCACTTACAGTGTTTTCTCTAATCTCCTCCTCCATCCCACATGCTCCACCCAAACTTGTCTCCCAACTTCTCCTTTTTCATTTTAGTTCACTCCCATCTCTAGACCTTTTACTTTGGCAGAAATAACCTGCCAATTAAAATTCACCAAGTGGATTCCTCTCTTTCCTTCCTCTATAAACACAACCGAGATTAACCTATTGCAAAAAGCATTCAAAATATAAAACCACCTTCTGCTAATGCTGTTTTGTATTAGTCTGTTTTATCAGCTCTTTGTTTCTTCACCTTAAGATTGCACAAGAGAATTTCTTGTAAAACTACTTGTGCTTTTATAAATGCAGAGAAACGCGCCCTCATGTGTATAGATTCAGAGGCTAGATTAAAATGGCTTTCTATTTTGAAAACACTTAAATCCCAAATAGTCTGTAGTCTAAACTAGTAAAATACCTCACAGACAGGCAGTAGGACTTTCCCTTCTCCATTCAGAGTAGTTAAAATTACTTTAAAAAAAACCAGAATTGTAAATCTGAGTCTGCAGACTATAGCGTCTAAAACAAATCAGCTGCTCTGTGTATGCAGTCACACCTGTACCACAGGCAGTGTCTACTTGGCTCAATTTGGATGAAACAATGAGTAATTTCTCAAGGCGATACTCCTGGCAGGCTCCTCCAAGAGCACACTGTGAAGGTTAACTCTCCTGCTGGATTCCCTTGTTTGTAACTGGTATATTTACTATCCCTGTTCTGTATGCTGTGACAAAGCTCTGTCCTTGTCTCCCACTCAGGCCAGTCCCCTCCTTCTGGGGTCCCCACTGGTTTTCGGCCCCCTCCTTCTTCCACCTAGAACTCCCCGGGGGTTTGGCTGCCCAACCTTCCAGGGTTGGGGTCGGGAGCTTGCTTCAAAAGGGGCCTTCCTTGGGTAGTGGGGTCAGTTCCCTGGCTGTCATCTGTCTTTCTACCAGAGTGATCATCTCGTCGTACGTGGATTGATCGTTCTGGCGTACCCATTTTTGGAGATCTGGCAGCAGTCCCCGCATGTAATGGTTTATGACCAGGGTCTCCAAAATCTCCTCCAGCCTGCACACCTCGGGCTGTAACCACTTCCGCGCGAGGTTTATGAGGTCGAATAGCTGGGACCTCGGGGGTTTGTTCTCCTGGTATTTCCTCTCACGGAACCTCTGGGCTCTTACCGCTGCCGTTACCCCTGATCATGCTAGGATCTCTGCCTTCCGAGAGGTATACTCAGTGGCATCCATGCCAGGCAAGTCAAAATAGGCCTTCTGGGCCTCTCCACACAAAAAAGGGGCCAGAATCCTGGGGCCACGCCTCATGCTGAGCAGTCCTTTCAAATGAGAGGAGATCTACCTCTACGTCATCTCTTGACATCATCTTTGGCAGACAAGCACTGGCCCTCAGGGTTCGCGTCCCGTTGGACCCCTGGGCCTGGGTGGTGAGGATCTTCAGCTGGTTCACCACCTCTCTCAAGTAGGCACGATCTTGGATCGCCTGGCTCATCAATAATTGATTGGTTTCCTGCTATAGCTGCATAGACTCCTGTTGTGCCCTTGCCTGAACCCGGGTGGCCTCCTGCTGGGCTGCTGTGGATTGTACCAGAGCTCTTACCACCTCCTCCATTGTGGTACAAAGCAAACAAACAAACCAAAACAAACAAAATCCAAAACCCCAGTGCACTTTTTTTTTTAGACCTCTTTCTTCCGCCACGCTGTGAACGAAGTCCCACTCCTGATACCAGTTGTGACAAAGCTCTGTTCTTGCCCCTGTGGGTCCCACGTTTCCTGGCGGATTTTGCTAGCCTCAGAGGCTCACTGCGACCCTCCACGTAACCCTTCTCTCTCTAGAGACAAGGGTCACAGTCTACTGAGCCATTTTCATCATAAGCCAGCGAGGGAGGTGAGGAGAAGCTATCCTTCCTCGCACAGTCTCTGTTGTCTCCCAGTCTCAGTGATTAATCAGGGGGCAAATGGGGGGGAGCCTGGGCCCACCCTCTACTCCGGGCTCCAGCCCAGGGACCCTAATAGTATCAGCTATGGTAGCTGACCTTTTAGAAACATGACATATACAATTCTCTGGGCTGATTCCCCCACAGCAGTCCTCACTTCCTCAAGCTCCACTTCACCCTTACCTCAGGGCCTCCTTCCTTGTGCCTGATATGGTGTGTACTACTCAGTCTCTCCAACAGCGCAACTTCCTCCCACAGCTCCTGACATGCATGCCCACCTAACTGGGAGGCTTTTAACTAGTTTCAGCCAGCCCCTGATTGGCTTCAAGTGTCTTAATTGACCTGGAGCAGCTGCCATTTCACTTATCCTGGTACCAAGGATTTGTTTAGCCTGGAGCTAATATGTCTATCCCCCACTACTTTTCTATAGCCATCTGGCCTTGCCCCGTCACAATGCCCACATACAGAATCTTCAATTTCTGACACATAACCAGCAGAACAGGAAAGCATTTAAATATCACTTTTAACTTAATACACTAGTGATACTATGGACTAATATAACCCTCCCACATGATTTTGTTTCTAGCCAAGAGATTCATCTTACCCATATCCTTGCAAAATCTTCCTACAAACTGACCTTTGTAACTGTAAAAAACCCACCCAATTAATACGTGATTAGTGTTCAAAAACAGCCTTCAGACAGTTATCTGTGATTTAACCTAGTGTGTTCCAGTTTACATTTTATGAGGTATGTTTCTCTTATGCTGAGTGTAACCGGGATTAGTACACTGATAGTATTAGTTCCTTCATGCCCATGATTTTCTTTAGTGTCTTAAAGCGTTGTTATAAATCCACATACCATTCACACCCATGTGACAAACTGCAGAACCGTGTAGTAAATGAATTTTTTCACATGCATCAACAGTTTTTCCATGTACCTTTGACCACCACACTGGCTACATCTCCCAAAAGACTATTTCCAATATTCTAGACCCCGGGACAATTTACACTAATCAAAGCCCAAGATGGACAATATCCAGGGCTGCATCAGTGATATGTTTTCAGGCCTGATATTTTGAGGCTGTGCAGAGACAGATATGCAAGCTTTAAAGCAGTGGAACATGGAAATCCCTATCTCACTGCCAGATCTATGGAATCCTGGGCCTTCAAACCATTTTAGGCCACTTTTTAAGAGGTTCCTATAGCTCCTTCTGAGAACTGTATGGTTGGTTTCATGCATTTGCCAGTGACACCTATCCTTTGCCCAGTTTACCAAGAGAAAAGGGCAAATAATCTCAGCTTCCCTCTCCGCCCAGCTGACTATAACAAAAATGACAACATAGTATGAAGTTTGCAGACAGCATCTTCTCATTACATTAACAGAGACAATACCCTATCTCCTACCACCACTAATACTATTTTAGCTTCCCCTGAGCTATACACTCAACTGCAGCCATGACCCCCTTAATCAGAGAGGAAGAGAAACGCTCTCTGGCTGTTTGACAAATACATTCAGAGGGAGAAATCCCTTCGGCATCGGCAGTGTGTCTCACCTCCTTCTCCCTGTTGAGCAGCACCAGCTGACTGTCCGTCAGGATGCAATATTTTCTCTCCCATGTTGTAGTTTCAGTGTAGGGAGACTGGCCACAGGACAGTCTGTGTGTAGGTGGCCCTTTCACATCTGTGAAAGAATAAAATGGAATCATTAGAGAGCTTAATTAGCCATCTTCTCCTGCTTTTGAGTCTCTGTAGATAGAAACAGTGTACAACTGTAAAGTGTAGTTAAAGAGAGTGCATGTTTCAGTATATTAAACAGTCCACTCTCCTACAAGTCAGCTGTGTGAAACTTTATATAGGTCACAGTACAAATATTAACACATTTATTTTTATTTACAATAGATCTGTAACAAATCAAAAGCACCTGAGGAACCTCTAAGTGACTGTGCTAAGCACAAAAAAACTGGAACAAAAATAAAACAAGCAGCTCCCATGCTCAACCCCCTTGTCCCTCATAAAGATCAGCCTTTATTGCCTCTCCCTCCTTAAAAGCCGGAGTAAACACACAGGCCTTAAGCCTTGCCTTGAAAGTTAATAAATGCAGGCTACTTCAGCCCACAGTGGATGCAGATTCCAAAGCAGAGTTCTCTTCACTTAGAATGTCCTGCCAGCAGTTCCTTCTCTAATACTGAGAGGCTTCCCTTCCAAAATGAGGTGGGGGAGAGTCACACCCCATTATAAAGATGGTAAAGACAGAGATATAAAAGTCTGCCCAAGTTTGCCCAAAGTCATACAGTGACTCAGTGGCAGAATTAGAAATAGATAGAATTCATGCCTGCCTGGGTCCCAGTGTTGCGAGGCAAGGTGGTCTAGTGGACTGAGCACATTTATTTTTAAAACTTGTTTTGTTTCCCATTACAATTATATGCACTAACTACAGATGCATTATGCATCTTATCACCAACAAGCTTTCTCCAAGACTGGGCAAGATATCACACCTACTGTCTTGACTAAAACTCCTCAAAACTTAAATGTGTTTGTCTATGTCACTAAACACACACCACGCATGGCAGTCTCCACTCAGGAGCAGCCAAGTCTGGAACAGCAGGTGGTGCTGCACATCAGGAATGATGTGACTAGACAGAGATATTACTGACTTGGTGTAGAGGATATAGGTAAGTATTGAGGTACACTGTTAAAAGATCTGTGGGAACCCCTCAATTGAAATAACAGTAGTAAAGGTCAAGACTGCTGTTCAAGTCTCAATGAGCATACCTATCTGAGGAAAAATATACAGCCCTGGGTACCCTAATTTATCAAAATTTAGGAAACATACATGCAAATAACCTCATTACACAGTTCCAAGTAGACATGTTGCCTTCTTTGTAACATTAAATTCTGTTGCTAGTTTACATTTGAGTTTTACACTGCTTTACCTCTGCTGAGATCCAAATGATTCCTAATGCTCCTTTCCTTTCACTAACAACCTACAATTAAAACTGATTTGTACAGACTAAATATGTTACTGTTGTTAGACTTTTGTATCTTCCCCACTAGAGGCCAGCAAATCCTCAGACACTGCAGCATTCAATCAGTCTTGGGAGGAAAGTAGAGTATAAGCCAAGACTGTAGTGTTAGAATTAAATAAATATTTAGCCCTCAAAGATGCAGTCCATATCAGAAGCTGTACACACTCTGAATTACGCATGTGAGAAGAGTTAATATTTGTATAAAGTTTTCAAATAGGTAAATATAATCTTGTAGCTCTAAATTTTCATGAGAATCTGCCATCTTGAAAACATTGACTCTTAACCTGAGCCAAGTTTTTAGGGCACAGATAAAGACTATTACAATACAGTACTGACCATTCAGAAAACATCAGAAGGTGTGTATCTACATTTTTTAGGGAATGATTCATGAAATGACTGGTATTGAATCTGCCAATAAACTCATGTCTATGTGGTAGACTACCTGACTCCTGCAACATAGGTTGATTTACAGTAGTATAGAGCAATTTTGAAGCACAATTAATTTCTGTGTATTTCAACATTCTTCAAAATCCTGTTTAGAAGACTCAGTTAAATGAGACACTATCATCGGGAAACATGGTCTGGCCACCGCAGACTACCCTAATATTGAGGAGCACGTACACAGCTCAGTCTAAAAAAATAGAACATTACACCTCCAGATGGATTTTTTTTTTTTTGCCATTGACAAACTAAGGTTTGTGAAACAAAGGATTTTACTTGATGTGGTTGTACCAAGTGTGCACCGAAAAACCCTCACTCATTTTTAGCTTATTTAGCTCATTTTAGCAATCACAAAAAAACCCAAAACCATGTTACTCAGACTTCTTATTTTTGATGTAGACGCTAAATGCGAGCTGCAAAATATTTTGCATTGTAATTTCCACTAAACGTAGGCTTCACTAGTATAGCATCCAATATTTCTACACTCAGCCCATACGATTTATAGACTAGAATAACATCTTCCACAGCACTAACAACTATAGTACTTAACTGAGCTACAGGCAGAGGTGGCCAGCCACAGTTATGCTGTCAAGTCAGTTAGCTACGTCAGAACAGCTTTCCGCACCAACTGCTGGCAACACAAGATGCCATCTTAGTATAATGTGCTGCCAGTAGCCAACAGGGAATGTACATCTGTAAAGAGCAATGAATGTCAGCACACAGCTCGGTCATCGCTTTATTCTGACTATACAACAGTACCTACAGAAAGACAGTGGAGAGTGACGGCAAGCAGATTTTTTGCAATTTTGGAGTCCACCGTTTGGAGTCCACATTATAGGAACCAGCAGAAAACCTGTCTTGCAGACCCATGGGAAACTAAATGCAAATTACACAGAGAATGAACCATGATAAAATGATATTTCTTGTTACTAATTTGTGTACTGTACCCGGAATGGTCTAGGTTTATGTGCCAAACAATATCCCTATCCAACTTACTCATTTTTTAGTGAGTCTTTCGAGGTGGCTGATCTCTCCAGAGCTTTTGCAACAGCTGTGGTACCAAAAGCCTGCCTGTGAGGTATTTTACTAGTTTAGACTACAGACTATTTGGGACTTAAGTGTTTTCAAAACACCGTGCAAACCTATGAGAGTGCACCAGCAGTGTCATAAATATGCACAGTGGTTCATGAACTCTGAGGCTCTGTTTTCTTGTGTTAGTCATCTACGCCTTTACCTTACATTTGGACTTCAAGAGGTTAAGTAGTACTGAATAATGGGGAGCAAAAGGATTTCCGTACATAAAAATCAACCTCTCAAGTTAGCAACCATAGGAGTACCACCTGGTGTTTGAAGAATTGTGGAAAATTAGATTACAAAATTCTAACTAAAATGTTGCACACCTTCTCCTGCGGAGATTTTCAAAGCCAGGGGCTGATTCATTTCTCAGTGTGGGGCCATTTTGTGAAAGAGACAGCTCACATAAGCAAGTATAACAACATTTGGAAGGCGAAAGTCTCTCCTGAAGGTAATTTATTCAAGAATACAATTGTGTAGCTTTGTAAGTGTTTGGACCTGAAGTAAATATGAAATATGGAATAGAAAGGCGCATCTGGAAAACTGACCCCTATTCTAAATCCTGCAGATTTATGTAGAGTATCAACGTGTTATGCCGAGCACCTAAAAATGCAAGCACTGATGAGAGATTTTTCTCCTATAGTCTGATGCAATCCATTCCATTCTGCATTCTTACAATCAGGCATTCAAAAAAATAGATCAGTTGGCCTACTCACAGGATCAAAGATCATGCCCTATGACCCTTCAAATGCTAATATCAGTTGAGTAACAGCTTAAAAAAACAGAACTTCTTTTTCTGTACATACTCCCCTGCTAAACTGAGGAGTGCATCACTGCATGCCTGTCACATCACCTGACCTACCAGAAGATCTACAACTGCATTGTTCTTTTTTCCATGGCTTTGGAAATTCCATTCAGCATGTCTATAAATATCCACAAAGCCTCTTTATATTCAGCAGGATGAACTCGTACATTACCATTCTCAAACTAGAAGGCATCTATGAATGTGAACAATAGATTTACCATGACAGGGCAAACAAAGGGGTATGATTTAGTGTAGGGAGCAGAGGAAGGGAGAGAAAGAGCCAGTGTCCAAGTTGGTCCCTCCAGAAAGAGGTGTGATGCTTTGTGAGAGCTGAAGGGTGCTTTCGTAGTTTTTTGGGATGGGTACCTATAGTGTAAGTGGGTGCATTTCTGCATTGTTCCATTACGAGCATGCAGCATTTTAAAAATATTACTCAAACAGTGTTCTAAACAGGAGAAGTCTAGCAAATTTCCCAAAGCCAGTCCTCAGTATTTTATAATGAGAGAATGATTTCCAGAAGTTAACACATGCCTCAATGTCATTTGTTCTCAATGTGCCCTTTTGTTGCAGCAACAAGAGAGCATCTCCTCTCCCTTCACAATGCCAGCAAAAATGTGTAGTGTTATGCAACAATAAGAGGAGATATTTTAGTTTTGAAAAGGGGTTGACTGTCTTAACAAAAAAATTCTCAGATTGAGGAATTTTGCATTAAAACCATGTGCATTCTTAATGTGCATTAGGTCAGCCCAAAATAGACAGAAGTCTGCACATATCCTGACCCAAGGTCATCTCTCTCTCTCTCTGATTACCAAAGGGAAAATCAGGACATTACTTCAGACACTGGAGCTTATTTGCTTTGAAAGACACATTATTCCTGATTATACCCATTAAAAAAAAAATCTTTGCTTCCCTAGTTCTGAATTTAAACAACAAAAACCCGCATACTTTGGTTCCGGGTTACTACACATCCAAGATTAAAAGGTGAGAGAGCAGCTTAAACTGGAGTGGGGCCTTTTTAAAGCACAATTTACAAAGCCCTGAGATATTTGAGAATTTCCGATTCAGTGCTGATCAAATTAACAGCAAACATTTTTTTAAATTACTAAGTAGTTCTCAACTTGTTGGGGAAGAGGTTTAAGTTTTTTGTTATTAAAAAAATACCAATATCCCAGCAGCAAAAAGCAGCCCCCCTCTGAGGTGTCAAAGAAAGCTCATTTTTACAGTACGCACTTAGGTTAAAATCCTGGCCTCACTGATATCAATGCCAAAACTCTAAGTAATTTCAATGTGGCCAGGTTTTCACCCCATAATGTTTCTGATACAGCTGGTTGGCAA